AGTTGACTTAGAACATTTTTCTGATTTGGCTATTTTAACTTTAACCCCTTAAGGACCAAACTTCTGAAATAAAAGGGAATCATGACATGTCAGACATGTCATGTGTCCTTAAGGGGTTAAATTGACAATGCACTTTGATTTACCCTTACATTTTTTATTTACTCTTTATTTAATAACCCTGGCACTGCCTCTACTACAGGGGTTTTCATTAATGTGTGAATTGCCAGTAATTAAAAGTGAAATCAAAGTGAATTTCAAATTTTAGCACATAAAAGTGCTCTGGCTGATTGCAACATGAGAGGAAGATCTCCCTCTCATGTTGCCGCTCCAGAATGCTGTTGCCAATCACATTATGAACAGTGCTGGGTAGCTGGCAAAGCCCAGTGCCTATCACAGTTGGCAGGGGCAGAAACAGGGAGACACTGCCATGGTTTTTCAGAACCTGAGATTCTCCCTCTCTTGGTGGGAATGTTTAGAATCACTGCGAATGAGCGTGACTGCTCAGCCACAGAGATTTTAAAGGATTTTCATGACTGTATGCCGAGCTCTTTTTGAATAATTAAATATAAATTTTAAATATTTATAAATAAAGCTGACAAAGGGGAGCCCTGGGTACTTGGGTCTTATTTATGTGTGCAGGGATTTAGCTCTGCTTATGTTAAAAAATTAGGTTCAATGCAGTCGTAACATTGTTAAAGCCCAGTCTGTGGATGACTGCATGAAACATCCTAGCAGTCCTAAGGGGTTAAGAGAGAAAGTCATTGTTTATATAGTTTAACAATGATTGCATGACATATTTGAAGTTCCCTGTGTCGATGACTTGACATATATACTGTATTTATCAAAGGAAGATGATACAATTATAGGAGAAACTGCTGACTTTAGGAGCAATTGCCATGGAAACCATTTAGCACCTTTACTCAGAATAACACCTGTATTACCTTATATAAATATGTCCTTCTAACCAGATATAGTTTGCTTATCTACTGTCGATTGTATTGTTGTTTGCAATGGAGCCACTTAAGACGACATGGTAAACGTATACCATACGTTGAAACATTGTAGGTGAGATTGAATGTGCACTTGGTGTGTAAACAAATCATTTTTAGAGCAATTAGACGGCCCCATCTAATAAAGGTGTATGCTTTTTAGTAGTGACTTGCATAGTGAGAGGACTTGTATCCAGTAATGTTTGATATAAGGTACGGAACATATTGAGTCCAACTAATATGAAAACTAAGACAACATAATATGCAAATTATTTGTATGTAAGTGTAATGTGTTAAAACATGTACAAAAAAAATAATATAAGGAAAAAAAATATTTTCCACCTTTAATAGTATTATACTAATAAAATACAGACCAACTAACACACATGGTTATTTATTAAAGTGAGAATTCAAGGTGAATTAAAAGTAACATACAAGTGTAAGAATGTCACCTGATCTGGGGAAAATTAAAAATGTAATACAACCTTCAATGGTAGAGGCAATCTGAAGTGCCTATAAAGACAAGCTATATAGTGTGATACGTATAAAAAGGTGAAGACACGCAAGGTGAGAGATTGAAAACACACTATAGCCAGGCAGTGTTTCAGCTTATCACCCCAAAAACGGGTATAAATGGATACAGGTACTTTAGTCTTGAGTATGAGTTTTCATAGACATGAAATAGATATAAAAGAAATATAGTGCAGATGTACTATACAAAAAAATGTATTGTTAAAATTGCACTTACAAGATGTAAGATAATATGGGCATATCTCCACCTCCAGTGGACCAAAGCAGGAATCGTGAACTGGGTGGTTCCAAAGGAGAGTATCCCAGAAAACCAAAATGGAATACAATAAAACAAATTAAAACAAATGAGATAAAAAGTCCCAAATAGGTGGACAGTCTGAATCCAACGCATTTCGTCTTCAGGGTTTTTTCAGTTGTGGCAAATGCTCCACATGCACACATAAAAAAATAAGGATTTTGGGGGCATGTCTGACCGCCGACCAAGATGGCAGCCTAAGCTCGGAGCTCCTTGTGGAAACTGCTAAAACTAGTTGATAAACGTCTGATCCCCTGCGGGAAAAAGCACGATGGGACGCACCCCGGTACCCCGAGACCATCGGGGTCAGAATCGGAGGCTCTATCCGGTCTTTTCCCTAGGGCCAGAACCACACCACCTGCCACTTCAACGCAGAGCACGTAGAGAGACTCCAGGGTCTTCTCCCCGGCAGTATTCTCCCCGCCAGCTTCACCTACACCAGAAGCGAGAGAAGCCACGGAGGGGAGGTTAGAGCCCTCATCCCGAACCTGCTCTCTAAGGCAGATTTTACAGCCTTTGCGGACCAATTAGGCTGCATGGTGCGGGACGAGGTGGCACTACTCAGAGCTGACTTCATAGACCTGGAAGCCCGGGTGGAAATGGTGGAGTCCAAAACTGCAGAGATATGGCATGCACGATAGCGAAAAACTGTGAGTCCGACCTGGCACACTTCACCACATGGGTAGATGACCTGGACAACAAAGGTCGGCACCTATATTTGCGGATACGTGGGGTCCGAGAGCACAGCCCAGGTGAAAGGCTGTCTGATATACTTCAGGGCATATTTACATACGTAATGGGCCCTCAAAAGTGCAGGCAAGTGGGGCTGGTGAGGGCTCACAAGGCACTTTGCCCGCCACCACCAACGGAGGAGCCACCAAGAGATATAATCTCCTGCCTGGAACACTTTATCATCAAAGAAGAGATACTGAGAGTGGACAGGCGTATGGGCACATTCCGTCTTGATGGGCAACCAATTGCTATTTTTCAAGACCTCTCACGCTTCACACTTCAAGCAAGAAGGGTCCTTTGCCCAATCACATCCGTTATACAAGGGGCTGGAATGCAATATCGCTGGGGATACCCATTCTCCCTATCAACCAGACAAGGCATAGAAACCCTGACCCTCCGAAGGCCAGAAGAAGTACCGCGATTCTTGAGAGCCACAGGACTGCCAGAAATACAAGTCCCTAATTGACTATCCAGGCAATTGCTGCAACAATCCCCTGGACCTCCACAGGCACCACCACGACAGGCGAGACCAGCCCTCCCACAGAGGCAGCGCGCATGGCGTCCAGGCCAAGCACGGCTAGGTGAATGAACTGCACAACTCCCAGAAGGAGCAACGGAGATGGGGAAAACAACACTGCACGGAGATCCCTGAATTGTGAGTTCTCTGGGGACTGGGGATGGCCTGGAGGAATCATACTTGGGGGGGTGCACTGTACAGGTGGGGTGGGGGGTCACAGGGTCACTGTGCTACAAGGCAAGGCTAATTCCTATTTCACTTTAAGCCTACATGTCCATATGGCCATTATCCACTGTTGTGCTCTGCTTATTAGTATGCAGATACAGAGTCCTCGAGGCAACAGGGGAAGAATTATGGACCACCACACAGGGGGGCATCCACAATTTTGGTGGGGATCAGAGGTCAAGCCGGGCATGTTTTCACTCTGTTATTTATCCTTGTTTATTTGTGCTACTGTGCTCTGGGTGAGCTTTGCTCTGGGGAAGCAATAGGGGGTAGGAGGGCAGGTGACTGAGGTATGACCTGTCCTATAAAGCCCCAACCATAGTAGCTCCTATAGGGAACATGACTGGTCAGCATGGCGGCTTCATTGGGGGGAGGGCAGAGACAAGAGGGGTTGATTACACTGAAGGCGGGGGTAGGAGGGGGAGAGAGTCACAGGGGATACCTTATGAGGGGGAGGGGAGATAGGGGGGCAGGGAGGAGAGGAAAGAGGACAGGAAGGAGGACAGGAAAGAGGAACGAAACCCCCACGACTTGGACAGGCTTCTTCTTCTTCGTCTCAGGGATGACTTGACCAGAACCCGAGATAGCTCTGCTCAAAACCTGAAATGTTCTTCCCGTGGTGGCGATTGGCCTCAGATTTTTCCTTTTCCATGAGTTGACTAAATTCTGAAGTTTGACTGCTTATTTGTCTGCTTACTTGAGGGTAACCCTTGCTGCGGTGCTACCACTGGGACAGCACTGCTTCTCAGCCCCCATACCGGCTAAGGACTAGGCACTCCCCCACGGGAAGGAGTAGCATCAATCTCCGGAGAGGATCAGGATGCTGCTGGCATGATAGCTGGACAGCACCTGGCAACCCCAAATTCTGAGGACTCCAGTCCAGTTGCCCACTTACCACACGAGAGGGTAACCTCTCCCCACTTACGTGGATCCCACACTAAACTTACCCTCAGTACAAAGGGTTCTTATCTTCCCTTTTTTCAAACTCTTCCTATCTTCCTCTCCTTGCCTACCTTTCCTGTGCTTCAGCCACCATGCAACCGAGAGGTGGTTCACACTATGCACAAGAAAACCTGGACATAGTCTCCTACAAGGTTCACGGTCTCAACCTCCGAGAGAAATGAACCGGCTTACTAAGAGACCTAAAAGGTACCAAACAGTGATCGTGTTTACCCAGGAGATGCATTTCCAAGAAGCAGAGAACCATCCCTATAAAATCCAGAACGGAAGACCTGGGGCGTGGGAATATTGGTCTCCAGGAGAATCCAGCTTACAATTCTAGATGTTCAAAAGGACCCCCTGGGGAGATTCCTGCTGGTCTAGGGCACCATCCATTTGCAAACCTTTATGCCCCAAACTCGAGACAGCACCTATTACTCCAGGGGACGCTAGGTAAACTTTCTGAGCACATGAAGGGGACAGTGGTTATTGTAGGGGATTTCAATCTGACCCTACACCCAGAAACGCATACCTCTACGATCCAACGCTCGCCACAAACTAACAGACACGCTAAAACGATGCAACTCCTCCACGCTCCCCAACTCACAGACTGTTGGAGGGCACTCAACCCGACCATGCAGGACTACACCTTTTATTCCAAAACCCACGACACCTACACAAGACCCAATAACTTTTTTATGCCTCACTCTTCCCTCAAACTGCTGAAAGGCTTAGACATCCTCCCAAACACGTGGTCAGACCACAACCCGATATGCCTCCGATCGCGAGCACTGCTCTTCCGTCCTCGTCAGGGATCCCCTCGGACATGGCGCTGGTGCAAGAAATGAGAAAGGCACTAATGGATTACTTTGTGACCAATGAAACCCCGGACTCCACCGCTTTGAATTGCTGGGAGGCATACAAGACAGTAATCCATGGCCACCTCATAGCCCGATGCTCTGCCAGAAAGCGGGCGGCCACTCAGGAAATGTCCACCCTAAGTAGGGATATAGCTGAACTGGAAAGACGACACAAACTCACGCTGGACAAAACAGTATATAGGGATCTACTCCTGAAGAGGGGCCTACTCACGGCTCTACTCTAATTTTAGAACATTAGAAATAAAAAAATAAAACACAGTGTCCCTAAACATTGCAATTCTTGTCCATTGTTTATATGGGAAACCTTTTTGGCATTTGGAATAGATATGGCTGAGAAGAATTGGAGAGGTGGTGATGGGAATATAGAACTGAATACAAAAGAAGCTCAAGTGATCTATAATTTAAATACATAAAAATTTGGCCTTAATCAGGACATTGACCTTGCAGGCTTAATCTAATTTTAATTGGATTTTTACTTAATATTCCACCTCTCCAGTTCTTTTCTCTCCTTTATCTTATTTGCCTCTCATATAACTCCCATTTTCCTTTCTTTATGATCTCTATGTCTGACAATTTGGATTCATTATGCATTCCAACTTAGTTTTTTAGTTTCAGATTTGGATACTCTTGGGAATATTGAGTATTCTTTCTTGAAGATTACCATTCTCCTTTTATACTGGAGTCAGTCCTTGTATTTATACCTTCTATTAATATTGATTTTGTACAGGAACTATAAACACGTCCTTTTTTCACAATTTTTTTTATTACATTTCCATTTTTTACATTTCAACTTTCTTTTCTTTTTTCTTCCCCTTTTTTCTTTTAATTTAATTTTACTTTTATTATTAATTTCATTTTTTATATTTATTTAGATTTAGATTTTTATTAAATTTATATATTTTTTATATTTATTTTATTTTATTTATTTTTATTTTATTTTATTGTAATTTATAAATTTTATTTTATTTTAACTTATTTTTTTCACTTTTTATATTTTTATTTCTTCTTTTGTTATATCTATATAATTTTTCCTTTTTTTGTTTTATCCCCCCATTTTTTTCAGTTATATTTAGTTTTATATTATATTATTTTTAAGTTCCTTTTTTACTCAATGTTTTTCTTTGTCTTTTCTTTTTTTCTCTTTTTCTCTTTCTTCCCTTTCTTGCGACATTAATCTCATTATGGGAGTCAAATGCCTTGTTGATAATTTCTATTTACAAATCTATATATATACATTCTAATTTGCTATCCTATCTATGAACGCGAGCACTATATTGCTTAAGAGGCTTGTGTTCCAACGTGACACGCATATAGACTATGCGCACGAATAAAATGTCATGAACAGATCGACAGACCCGGTAGTCGGAACACCATGTGGAACACACGCCATTTGGACTGCACACCACACACGAGGAGTACAGATGAAAGAAATCTTGCAATCAACAACAGCATATATTAAGAGCACACGCAGGAACAGCCCGATATCCCAAAAGAAGTCCATAGGACGAAACGCGTTGGATTCAGACTTCCCACCTATTTGGGACTTTTTATCTCATTTGTTTTATTGTATTCCATTTTGGTTTTCTGGGATACTCTCCTTTGGAACCACCCAGTCTAGGATTCCTGCTTTGGTCCATTGGAGGTGGAGATATGCTCATATTATCTTACATCTTGTAAATGCGATTTTAACAATAAATTTGTTTGTATAGTACACACACACATATATATATATATATATTTATTCTATATCTATTTTATGTCTGTGAAGGCTCATACTCAAGACTGAAGTACCTGTATCCATTTATACCCCTTTTTGGGGTGATAAGCTGAAACACCGCCTGGCTATAGTGAGTTAACTGTTCTCAGTACTGCCAAATTCTGCTGATTGCACTTATTCTATCACACTGCTGTCACTAACTGCTTGCTGAAACTGTCAACTGAACTCCTACCTAACGGTCTATGTAAATAACTTGTTTTATCTAGCAAATCTAGACGCAAATTATACTCCTTGGTGGTTATATGTACCATTGACTGACACAACCTGGGTTATTTACTAAAGTGTGAATTTTTGGGAATTTAAAACGGATTTCATTTTTAATGCCAAAATAGCCAAATTGGAGCTATGTGTCCGAATATATGAAATTCAAGTGAATTCAGGAGAGTTTATATATATACTTTTGTGAATAAGCCTGTATGTGATTTGACTAACTAACAAGCTAAGTAGTAATGACAATTATGGCAGGTCAATTGTTAAAGAGACGCTCCACTTCCCAAATACAAAATAATTAAAAAAGAGTAGATATAACTGCAATGAAAACATGTATGCATTTCATTAGCTATTTTAATTGGGGATACATCTAAAAGAGCTTGCAAAAGCTACAGATTTTATGTCTTCAGCTTTTGCACCCTCCCCTTCTAATCCTGACCAGACTTCCTGTGGCTATCCAATCACAGACTTCCCAATGCAGCTCAATGAGAAGTCTTTGCAAGGCAGGTGCTGTGAGCATTTGCCTGCCTCTTGAGCTTATTTCAACTTGGCTAACCAAAAGTAAGAGGGCCTGTTTTTTGATTGACAGCCAGAGGGTGTAACCAGGTTAATTTATAAAAGTTTAAATCTGTATTGAAATCTGCATTTTTTTGCAAAATGTTAAATAGAGTGCACACTATTCACATATAAAGCACTTCAGTAAACTAAAGTGTTTTATATGTTTGCAGTGTACCGTATTAAATATTAAATAGTGTCTTCTGCAAATAAAACGCATGTTGGAATGTTGATCTGCCTAGAAATATAAACAATAGATAATGATCTTTGAACTACCTAATAACACCACCTGGATACTAAGCAGGCAATTCTCTCCCCATGTGGTTTTCCTCTCCAGTTATACATCACACAGTGATTAATTAGATGCTGCTTTTAGATTAGTTACAGTCCTGGGATTTTCAGTTCAAGTGTTGGCCTATAATATTAACCATTTACATTCTGAGAATTATAAAGAAAATAACTTTGGCTCGGTTCACAAGTAATTTCTTCAAGAAACCCAGATATTTCTAGTTTTATTAAATCTGTTTGTAAAAAACACACAGAAGAGAAGGCATCTTTTTTTTGGATTACTGTGATATCAGAAATATATAATTTGGGAAAATGTTATTTTAAACAGAAAAACACATTTTAATGAATTTTGTTGAATTAAGAAAGAGGGAGAAGCCCATTAGCATGATTGCCAGTATTTTGATTTGGAAAATGTGTAGCATTTATTTTTCTTAAATATATAATTCTTCCCCCAACACAAAAACAAATTTTGTACAAAATGTGAACTTGCCAAATATATAAATATGAATTAATGCAATTATTTAATATATAATGTTAAGACACTTTTTATGTTAAAAATATATTTGAAGTATGCGATGCATAGCTAGCATGACAATGCCAGGTAAATTCTGGTCTTTCCTCCCTCAAGTGTTGTTACTCCTGTGTCTGTCTCCCTCCAAGTCCACGTTGCTACCATCAGCTCCACCACGCAGGTTCGCTGCCTAAATGTTCTCTTTGACTCCGACCTCTCCTTCAAGCCTCATGTTCAGTCTATTGCCAAATCCTGTCATTTCCATCTCAAAAACATTGCGCGCATCCGCCCCTACTTAAGGCCAGATGCGACTAAGGTGCTGGTCCATTCCACTGTCCTCTCTCGCCTTGACTACTGTAATCCGCTTCTCAGTGGTCTTACGTGCTCCCAACTTGCACCATTACAGTCCATGATGAATGCGGGGGCGAGGCTCATCTTCCTGTCCGCCAGCACCTCTCATGCCTCACCCTTCTGTCAGTCCCTACATTGGCTTCCTATAAGATATAGAGCTCTATTTAAAATTCTGGTTCTTGCTTTCAAATCTCTACATAATGCTGCTTCCACCTATCTGTCCTCCCTTATACACAAGTATGTCCCGTCTAGGCCCTTACGATCTGCTGAAGACTTACGTCTATCTTCTGTCCATACTCCCACCTCTGATGCTCGCCTTCAAGATTTCTCGAGGGTTGCACCATTCCTGTGGAACTTGCTGCCCTCCTCCTTTAGATGCTCACCCAGTCTCCACTCCTTCAAAAAATCGTTAAAAAACCCACTTCTTCATAAAAGCGTATCAACTAAACTGTTAATAGCTCCCGACTGACTCATCTTCTGCAACTGTCACTAGTCTAACACTATCCTTACCTTTTTGTGTCATTTAACCCCACTCCCTCTAGCATGTAAGCTCATTGAGCAGGGCCCTCAACCCCTCTGTTCCTGTGTGTGTCCAACTTGTCTGGTTACAACTACATGTCTGTTCGTCCACCCATTGTAAAGCGCTGCGGAATTTGATGGCGCATTCACAGCATTCACAGACTTGGTCAAAAGCCTTGCTTCACCATGAGTCCTAGTACCCTCTGCTCTTCTCAAGTGCAGGAGAAAGCTGTGCACACTTTACCTCCTCCCAGGATGCAGAAAGGTGTTCTCCTGGCTGGACAGGCTTCTCTAAATGCACTGCACATATGACGTTTTGCAGGTGTCCTAAAAGTTACAGGACACTGCAAAAATGTATACTTTTATTTTAAAAAAAGGCCACTAGGTTATAATTAAGTGATATCCCTGCTAACCATTCCTATTAACACCCACCTTGTGTAAATTGGTGTATTGTGATAGTATTCAATAGTAATTTAATTTAAGCTCTACTTTTTCCCCTCTTCTGAGCAATAGGTGCCCTGTTGTAGTTTTTGTTACCCGAGTTGACATTCTTGTATTGATTATGTTTTCCTGTTACTGACCCAGCTTAGTCTAACCTCTCTGACTATCTGAAATCCCTGACCTCGGCTTGCCTAATCGTTTAGTCTACCTCTGGAATCCTTGAGCTATATTTGTTTTCTTGACTTTGCTATTTTAACCTATTTTGAACATTACATTAAGCCCGACCACAATAATGTCATATATGTATACACTGCTTCTACATTACCTGTTCACTTACTGTTTACCTATGGTTTGCGTGTTAGGGTCACCTATCCTCATATACAGCATCATTTTACATGGCAACGCAATGTGAAAATGACTGTATGGAAAAGGTTGTGTCCTGGTATACGGTGTAAGCGGTCACATGTAAGCGGAGCTCCACGCAAGTCAAGACCTAACTAACACAAATAGCAGTGGCACCCTGGCAAACCAAACTCAAATCAGAAGGGCACATATCACTTACCCCCACAATG